GGAAGACGGGGAATCTGCGGGCGCGCTTTCCCACCTTCGGGGACCTGCACTGCGGTTCCGATCCCGCAGCCATGGAATGGACCTGCGGGGGAGTCGAGACCAGACAGACAGCGCCGGCAGCTTATTCAACGCGTCGGAATGCGTCGCTGCGGAGCGCAGGCAGTTTGTTGGTAAACAGACGCCGGGTCAGGGGAGGATCCGCCTGGCGCCTAGCCTGCCCCTCACGCGCGCAGCGCGCACACCCCCGCGGGGCGCCCTCGGCCAGGCTTGCCGCGACCGCGACAGCGCCTCACCGCTATCCCCCACCCAGTCTTGGCTTCCGCTTCCGGCAGGGGCCCCCCGATTGGTTGCGACACCACAGCTTCTGCAGGCCCCCGAGCGATCCACCATCTGGGCTTTTGTCCAAGCGGCGTCCGGACTTTCCTGGCGCCGCATGAGGCTGAAGCGGTACACGAACTGAGGCAAAATACGGGAGTGGGAGGTTAATCCAGTTTGATGGCTCCTCAGAGGGCGCCAGAAATACAGCAGGCTCGGCTTATGGCCGCATTTTTAGTCTGTGTGCAGGACCTGCCTCTAAACATTAATACCCAAGACCTTGATGAACAGGTGTCCACATGTACAAGTATCTATGACCACACGTACACAACAACACAGAGACTCCATCCAAATACAATATATGCACTCGCATATACCAATGCAAAGGCGTCTACACATCCATTCATGAACAGAGAGGTTAATTTATGGATCTGCAAATACAGAGTATAGGCTGTGATGTATACACATCTACAAACTCAGAGATGAACTGCAATATCCCTGAATAAAAGCACTATACTTGTCTCTTACACAGACCCATGACTATAGAAGTTGAATTGCCGGTATACACACTCAAAAATACAGAAAATGCAAGCATATGAACACTTATGCACGTGAACCAACCCTATGAGAGATCCCTATTCACACACATCTAAGTTGCTTTCATGTTAGGGGAGAGATAGTTACATCCCCAAAACCAGCAATCCTCACCAAACCCATATACACACTTCTCACATGAGTATGCAACTCAAGCAGGCAATTCATGTTGGCACACACACCATATGCTCTCATTATCAAGAGCTCAGAATGAAGGCAGCAGTTTTAGAATTGGGCGGTGGGGGAAGACAACAATCAGAGAAAGAGGGAAGCTTAGAAGAGTAAGAGAAGGTACTGGGGGTGGCCAGGCTCAGGTCTCCTTGGAGAGATACAAAGATCAAAGTGGTGTTCAGGAATGGTTGAACTCCCCAGTCAGGTATCCCTGGGGGAGGAAGAGCAAGTTGGCTCCAAACTGGACTCCCTGCTAGAATGACTAGAGATGAGTTTTTCCAAGAAAACACACCTGTGGCACCTGGCTCTGAGCTCTCCACCCTGCAGCCTTGGAGCTTCAGGAGAAGGAGCGCTGGAGGAGCCCTGCCTCTGAGTAACTGGAGAACCCTTCCCTCCTATCCAGCAGGGTATGCAGGGTTTGCGCAGTTCATAAATGCTACTTCCACATAGGACCACCTTTCCGCCAACTCCAGCCATGCCACCACCTCCTTAGAGCTGGGGCTGTGAACTTACAAGGATCTATCCTTTCAAACCTTCCTCTCTGCTGCCATCATCTTCCTCTGGAGGGAGGCAGCCACACAGCAGCTCTGTGGTGGGTTCCAAGGATGGCATAGCAGGGTGCACCCAAGGAAGAGAATACTCTTTGGGGTGGGGTTGGTTGTCAGGGAAGGTTTCACAAAGAAGGTGATTTTGAGGTGGAACTGAAAGGGTGGGTGGAAAGTCACTTCCACAGGGCCATGTCCCAGAGTCCTTTCTGTGCCAGACCTGGCAAGAAAAGGCAGGGTGGGTTTTCCATAGGCCTCGTTCCTGGGCATCTCCCAAAGCCAGGAGACTGGTAGTGAGAGCCCCTCCTAAGCTCTCAGGGGGCTTTGCTGAACTCATCTAGGCTTCTCACCCCCATGCAGCAGTAGGAAACACCTTGCAGCCCTTTAGAATTTATGGAATACAACATCCCATCCTTGTACATCCTCACAAAAAACCCTGTGAATTCGGTATCATTATTCTTATCCTTAGTATACAAATGAGGAAAACTGCCTCTCCATCATCACCTCCCTCTTCAGGGCTCCCTCTTCCAAATGCTGGAGGGTACAGGGCTGTGGCACCTGGTTGGAAACCATCCCAGGGAGGAGTCCCCTCTGACAGGCACCACATCCCACCAACCTCAGGGCCTGGGGGTGGAGTAAGAATCTGCAAAGGTGGAAAGGATGGGGATGGGGGCTAGGAAGAGCTGCAAATTGTATTGGGTCAGAATGAAGGGAGGGCTGGCCTGTGAGACCTGAGGCCTGAGTTCCCAACCCAGCTCAACCTCCGACTCACTGGCTGTGATAGACTGAGTCAGCCATTTCCCATCTCTGAGACTGGTTTTATCCAGAGGAGATAAAGGGAGGGAGCTGTACTTAAGACCTCCAAGCTTTTGTCATTTGCTTTAGAATGAATTGCAAAAAACCAGACTCCCAAAACATAATGAAATCAAGAAGGAAGGGGGGGAGGGGAGAAGAAGAGAGGAAAGCAAAACAAACAAACAAAAAAACAACAACAAAACCAACTACTCTCTCCTGTCACTACCAATACCTCGATCTCTAGCTTGTCACAAAAGCCAGAAGTGGTTGTCAGGCTTTCTCCCTCAGGTCCTCTCCCTTAGCGAAAGGAGCTCGCTTGGAGAACCCCACCATCGAGGTGAGGCCCTTGTGTCCTAAGTGGGGAACACCGCAGCGCCGTCGCGGTCTCGGGAGTGAACGGGGAAGCGGCGACTTGACCTGAGAGATCCGAGCGGTGCACTGTGGTTTGCAGGCTCTTCGCGGGTCGACCGGCAAATACAATCCCACCGGGTCAGGTAAACGATTCTTTGCTCAGAATAAGCATCAGCGGCAGTGGGATGTGTGCCTTGCTTGAGATCACCCTGCGTTCGGACCCTCCTTTGAAGCTGGGGAACTCCACCCGAACCTGTGCCTCTTCCGGACACCCTAAACACGTGGTGGGTGCGCAGGGCTCTCCCTACAGTCCTTGGGCTCGGTACCCGGCGGGTGGCACGCTCCTGAGCAAAGAGCGGGCGTCTGCGACTGGAGCGGGGCGCCGGGGTCGGTAACGCGTGCAGACTCACCTGTGTGGGTCCGCCCAGCGAAACAGAGACCGCGACCCCAGTCCTCAGCCCTCGGTGGCCATCGCTGGCTTACCCGCGTCCTCTCTCTTCCATCCCACCCACAGTCCCCAAACGAAATTTTGGCTTAGTTTTGTCTGTTCTCAGTGAAATTTAAGACCGACTTTATGGGGCTTTCATAGTAACTCGATTTGGGGAAACTGTGAATAATTCAGTTTGGCAGGGGTGCGGAGGATGGAAGGAATCCTCCCTCCGCTGGGCCCGGCGCTCTGTGGTTAGAGCCCCCACATTCAGCGAGGCCCGAGGAAGGGGCAGTCTGTAGAGGCCTGTGTCCCCATCCCCTCCGATTTCACTTTTCCTGAAAATTTGAATTATCGCGTGGCTTTTCTTCTTTCTGATGGAGCAGTTAATAAGCGCTGGCGCACACGGGGTGGCGGGCTGGTTACTGAGGTTTCCGCCAGCTCGGCCGCACGCTTCCTTGGCGCTCACCTCCACGCTCCCCAGAGAGCTTTCTCCGTGATGAGCGCTCGGCCTTGGAGAAGCTCTCAGGGGAGGGGGAGGGGGAGGGGAGAGTATTGGGGGTAGCGCCACTCAAGATCACCGCACTGCTACAGGGGAGGGCTCCCTACGGGGGGTCTCCAGCACCGACTTCAGCGACACAGCGACACTCTCCCTGTGTCGTCTTTGCTTCACTTCCAAATTTCAGCATCCGCTCCAGGAAAAGTCTTCAATATGGGATCGACTGGGAATATATATATATATATACATACATATATATATATATATATATGTATATATATATATACATATATATATACATATATATATTCTCCAAACACGTTCAAGACAAAACAAAACTATGGACCGCTCTTGGATCAAGTACACACACACTCCCCCCAAGAGAAAATGGTTAACAAAAATTGGGCAGTTTAGAAGGTGCGATGGAGGCTCCTCCCTGTGCGGCGAGGGAGCTGGACTCCGCAGAGTGCGGGACCGACGAAAGGCCCCGGGCAAGGGGCGCGTGGGTCCGGGGAGCGGGACTTCAGGACCGGGTGTCCCAGCCGCGGACCCAGCAAGCCTGGGAGAGGAGCCCGCGTCGGGGACCTGAGGGACAAATCGCGGGATCTGCACGCCAGACGCCCGCTGGGGAGGAACACGGAGAG